ATTATCTCTCTTAATGAAGAATGTGGATAATAAGTTTCGGTTTAGAAGGTGCACTTGAGTCTTGAACGAGCACCTGCGAAAATATAGTGTTGCTAGCACAAAGTCTGAACCCAAGCAGAAGATAGTATTCGACAAATTAGGACATAAAAATGCTTAATGCTAGTACGATAATAACAGCTCTAATTTGCCATTAAGATAACTACCTTGACTAGTGGAAGAACTGACAGCAGAAGTAAACATCATCCAACACACACACACACACACACACACACCCACACCCCATGGGTATAAAATTAAGATAAGTGAAAGGGAAGCTATCAGAAATTACAGTTTCTTAGATTTAACTCGAAACACCAAATCACCATGCATTACAGAGCACAAATTGGTCCGGTGTTTTTGTTGGCAACAAACAGAAGCATCCAGAGATTAATAAGAAGGTACAAAGTCTAATGGATAACTGGATGGTGAAACTGAGTAAACAGCATAATTCTCATATCGAGTACACAGGATAAACTAAATATCAAACAGCAATGTCAGCCCATTCCTGCCAATGCTCCATTGTTTCTCCAAGGAGGCCAAAAAGAGAGTAGTGCAATCAATTGTAGACCATGTACTTCGGTGTTGCACTGAATTTCTGATATCCTTTAATGACTTTATTGACGGCATCTAAGAAGTCTTTCTCTGTAACAGTTTTCCTCCTCGCTCGAATAGCATACATTCCAGCCTCCGTGCACACACTTCTTATGTCAGCTCCTGGAAGGAATCAGTGAAAAAGTCAAAACTGTACCCGTAACTGTCTGATATTCGTACATCTGATAACTACACATTGAACTTATCACTTCTCTTTTATGTGAAAGCAAACCTTCTCTAGTATATCAACCATAACTCTATGAAAGTCTATAAATATCCATATACTCATTACATAAACATCCATCAGCCACAACCACATTCCTCATATTGTTGAAAGCCATAAAGTTAGCAAAAGCAGCTAACTTATTTGCCAAATTCACCTTCAAATACATCAAATTTAATTATATATCAACCTCTTCCAGCTTCTCCTCCTGGTGCTGCTATCTTTGCTTTGGCTTTAACTGGTTGATGGACAAGCTCACAGAGATCTCAATCTGCAAGTACTCACCCTAGATTTCCTATTGGCATAACACCATCCAACATCATGGGTACCAATAATCTAAAGTTTTCTACAAAATTAGATATTTAAACCCCTATTATTTATGTAAACGATATTTGGTGTCTCAATACACAATAATTCACTGGAATAGAACAGCTCAAGTTTATTTAATAGACTGCTACAGAACATTTCGAATTTAAATTTTAAAATCTATTGAGAAACAAAAGAAGCGATCATATAACATAAGAGAATTTGGATTCAAAATGTAACCAGAAAATATTGGGAATTGGGATCAGTGGAATGAGTGTGGCTCTGATGTTGTACTTAGCAGAAGATACAACCTCATAATCATATATTCAAGCAACTCCTGATGTAAACTACCAAAGGACTATATTCCCTTGCGCTCATATCGACTAGGCACAATAAATAAGATGAAAGGTTCGATCTGTACATAATGCAATGTTTCACAAGGAATGTTGGCAAGTAAGTTTCTATTTATTCAAGAATAGGGAAACAAGCAAAGTTACACTCAAAATGTTTGACACCTAAAATTTAAATTATGATTTGCGTCTATGATGGTAGTAGCAAACAGAATCCAAAAGTTGTAGAACTAGGTTTGATAAAGAAATTCAAATTCTTAGAGCTTGTGAAATTATGTAGACTTAACTAATTGCCAAAATGTAACATTTTGAGTAACTCTAAAATTAAGAGAAAAATAGTGAGTTAAGATGTGGTAGAAGTCCCCCTTCTAGAAGCAGACTAGGGGGGGGGGGGGGGGGAGAGCTTTTTAATTGAACACAGTGCACAAGTTAGATACTTAAGATGCTACACTAAGGTTTAATATGCAACTCATGGTGCAACGTACGCAAGATTTTTTTTTTATAAGTCAAGGTATATGAGGGGTTACCAGTAGAGTTTGGGCAGAGACGTGCCAAAAGTTCAAACCGAATATCCCGCTCACAGTTCATTGTCCGCGTATGAATCTTAAATATCTGGGTCCTGCTCTCCAGATCAGGCAGACCAAACTCAACTTTGCGATCCAAACGTCCAGGACGTAGCAATGCTGGATCAAGAGTATCAGGCCTGCAAAAAAAAAGGAAAAACAAAATGGAGTTACTATTTGAGCAAGAGGATAAGATAATAAACTGCAAATCAGCAGTTAGATACCAAATATCAATAAACTAATAATATTATTTCTTTTGTTACCACAAATCAACTTCATACCAACGGAAACAATTGAGACTCGAAAGAGCATAGGAGAAATCCCCTGAGCAAGAGGAGTATAATCAAATGCTATACCAAACAGCCAAAAGTAGCAAGAAATAATTTATATGTTTCAGTCAGATGTGGCCTTTTGCTAGGAAAGGACACAAAGGTAACATCAAGATACACATCGAAATGTATGCTATTGATGTCAAAGTCCTACTAGATAAGCAAATAAAAGCAGTAGACAGGCTAAAGAGAAAGCCATGGATATAACACCCACTCTGCGTCACTCATTTATCAAAAGCTGCAATAAATCACCCAAAGTTGTTTCAGCACCTGCAACCCCCAAGAGAGACTACTGGAACAAAAGTTAAAACATAGAGGAAATATTAACCTATTGGTCGCCATGAGAACTTTAATATTCCCACGGGCATCAAATCCATCCAGTTGGTTCACAATTTCAAGCATGGTACGCTGAACCTCATTGTCTCCGCCTACACCATCATCAAATCTTGCACCTCCAATGGCGTCTACTTCATCGAAAAAGACAATGCATGCCTTCTTAGAGCGTGCCATCTGCCTTACCAAAAAAGTGGTCAGCAATTGAAACTACGAAAACTTGCTAAAAAGTTGCCAACAAGGTTACATCTAACCTGGAAAAGTTCACGAACCATCCTAGCTCCCTCACCAACATACTTCTGAACAAGCTCACTACCAATAACACGAATAAAGCAAGCATCTGTTCGATTTGCCACTGCTCTAGCAAGCAGTGTTTTCCCAGTACCGGGAGGACCGTAACAGAGAACACCCTTTGGGGGGTCAATCCCAAGTTTCACAAACTTTTCAGGATGAAGCATGGGCAACTCAACAACCTGCAAGTTAAAAGCAGAATTTCATCAAGCAGTCCGAAAGACAAATCTAGTTTGCAAATGTCAAAAAGATACAATGCAAGGATGTTAAGCAGACAAGGTCAGAGTCGGACATATACCAAATAATACCAAAACAGAAGAATATACAATCATGAGTACCTCTCTCATCTTTTCAATTTGTTCCTTGCATCCACCAACATCATTATATGTTACATCAGGCTTTTCCTCAACTGTCATCATGGTAACACTAGGATCAATTTTGGGAGGCAATGGAATCTGAATCTGATATTTATTCCTATCAACCCTGCAACGATAACAATATGGTCATACGGAGGTTCAAACGGACTCTGACAAGATTCAGTAAAGCAGCAGGTGTGGCTAGTTCGTTATTCTTACATACACAGCTAGATTTTCCCACTAAATCCTCATTCCACCTATAAAGCGCGAGAATGCCTAGCACTAGGTATCTCTAATATGAAAAGAAAGCTAAGCAATTTAAATACATTCCACAAGGAATTAACAGCTAATACGGTCATAAGACTCAAATGCCAAGCTTCACAATAAGCAAAGGTCACATTCTGTTAGATTACATGAATCCACCAATTAAATAAGATAGTAAGCTGCAAATGCTTCTTCAGCCATTTATCAAGGAGATGAGTATTGTGACTAAGTGGACCAACCAGTGTGGAAAATGAGCTGTCAAATGTTGCACAAGGTCCAGTTTATCATCCCCATATAGAGCAATCAATTAATTAGTTTCTGTGAATCCTTAATAGTTCTAGGTAAGATCACTACTAACATTCTGAAGGATCCTGATGTTGCAATAGCCCTCTTCCTTTGACA